GTCCCCACACTGCCCTAACCGTCACCTCCCAGCCCTCCCCGTGCCCCAGCTGGAAAACTTGCATACCCCAAAGCAAGTAAAAATAACCCAAAATTAGGGTTTGGATTGCGTCTCCCACGCGAAGTCCTGGTTTTCCAGGAGTCAGCTGGGGGCAGGCAGGGAGGGCAGCGGCCGGGGTCACCCCTCGCCGCTGTGACCCCAGCCCGGCGACCCCCTCGTGCCGACCTCGGCCGGTGCAAACGCTGTCGCGGTTTTTAAGCGTTTGTTGCTGACTCAGACGTTTCCTTCCTCTTCGAGGAACGTAATCAGGAGCAGCCGGCGGGTTTGTGAGTAGTGATGAATTTTAAGTTGGCGTTTAAAGGCTCCTGGCAGCGGAGCTGCGGGGTTGGCAGCCCCGCGCGGCCCCTCGCCATCGCCAGGGTGGGTTCCACAGCCATGGCGGTGACTCCGTGTGAAAGCACTGGCCATAAAACGCCGCTGTTCCCGTCCACCTGCTTTGCTCCGTGTGACCGGGTCAGGCGTGGGGAGCTGAGCCTTCCTCCCACGCTCATCCTCTCACTCTCCAGCTGTTGGTGTTGCCCGTTTGCCCTGCTCTGCCCTCACAGAGCAGTGCTGTACGGGACGGGCATGGCGGGCGCTGGCTGTTCATGGCAGCGCGGGGCGGCTGTAGCAGCCACGGTGCGTGTGTCGCCTCTGTGTGCTCACCTCCTTCTGCTCTGACTCCATTTCAGTTGCTGGAAATCATCAGGAAGGAGGACGTGGCGCTCAGAGCGATCCTCACCACCCACCACCACTGGTAAGATTCACCAGGGGTTGGGGACAGCCGTCCCGGGTGCGGGACTCGGTGTCCATCCCTCCCCTGCTGCCGCAGGGACCACGCGAGGGGCAACGAGGAGCTGGTGAGGCTCTGCCCAGGTCTGCGGGTGTACGGTGCTGATGAGCGGATCGGGGCCCTGACGCACAAGGTGACCCACGGCCAGGAGCTGACGGTACGTGGCTGTAGGGACGGCGGAAGCACCATGGGGCTCGGTTCCTACTGCGTGCATGGATCCTGCCCTGCTGTGGGGAGCGCAGCCGGGCGATGGCACCATGCTGGGAGCTAATGGGGTCGGTGCCTGGATGGGGCCATGCTTGGGTTCCCTGTGCCAGTTGCAGACATGGCACCATGGCTTTGGGGCTGGGACTGGAGGAGAAACCTCATCCCGTTCCCTTTGGGATTGCGTGGGGGGGACCCAACCCTGTTCTGAGGCCCTGCTGTGCTTGGGTTCCCCATGTTGTGGGGTGGTTGCAGACATGGCACTGTGGATTTAGGGCTGAGACTGGAGGAGAAACCTTGTCCCATTCCCTTTGGGATTGTGTGGGGGAGACCCAACCCTTTCTTGAGGCTCTGCTGCCAAACTCCATGGGGCAGACATGTGCAACTCACGGAAACCACCATCCCCAGGCATGTCTGTGACCTGCTGAGCCCCGGGTGGGTGATGCTGTGGGGTTTGGGGAGGTCTGGGGGGCGTCCTGACCCTCTCTCCCTGCAGTTTGGGGCCATCCGGGTGAGGTGTCTCTTCACCCCCTGCCACACCTCAGGCCACATGTGCTACTTCATGTGGGAGGACGGTTCCCTGGACGCTCCGGCTCTTTTCTCAGGTATCCTACCCTGCTGCCAGGCACGCTGGGGGTACCAGGGATGTGGGGCGTGCTGCCTGCGTGCTGCCTGCATGCTGCCTGGCTGCCCGTGCTCAGCGCTCACGGGGAGAATCCAGCGGGGGGGGTGGGGGCTCCCACCCAGCCCCCCGGCCCTAGGAGCAGGGCAGGGTCCCCTCTGTGCTCGGACCCCCCCCCCCTTTCCCCACAGGTGACACCCTGTTCGTGGGAGGCTGCGGGAAGTTCTTCGAGGGGACGGCGGAGCAGATGTACACCAACCTCACTCAGGTCCTGGGGGCTTTGCCGAAGGAAACGGTGAGTGCCCCATATCTCAGCTCCAGCCTGGGGAAGGACCTCAAAATTGGGAAGGGGCTCAAGGGTGGCATGTGTGACACCGGGTGCTTCCTGCTGGCGTTGCAGAAGGTGTTCTGCGGTCACGAATGCACTGTCCGAAACCTCAAGTTTGCCTTAAAAGTGGAACCAGAGAATGAAATAGTGAAGAAGAAACTCGCATGGGCCAAAGTAAGTGACTGAGCCACTGCCAGGGTGGGGGCAGGGGAGGTGTTGGGTGCCGGCAGGTTTTTGGACATGTCTGGTTCCTCGGCAGCAGCGGGATGACGAGGACCTGCCCACGGTGCCCTCCACGCTGCAGGAGGAGTTCCTCTACAACCCCTTCCTGCGGGTCATGTAAGCGGCAGCCGTGCCTGGGCGGCATGAGGGGCCCCGACTTGAGTCAACCCTGAAGCGGACGGGTCCCAGCTGGCTGGTCCTGCCCCCAAACTCAGCTCCCCTTTTCCCTCCAGCATCACCCCTTCTCCTGTGGCTTCGCTACCCGGTGGGAAATACAAGCCCTGATGGGGGTGTGGTGTGGTGTAGTGTGTGTGTGCCGGGATGTGCCGGGATGCAGGGTCCTGCAAACAGCCCCTCAGCATGAGGATGTGACACCCCTGATGTCCATCCTAGCGGGGGGGGGGGGGGGGGGGGGGGGGGGGGGGGGGGGGGGGGGCGTGTCTCCATCCCGTCCCCCCCAGTCACAGCAGAGCTGCTCTCCTTGCAGGGAGGAGCCCTTGCAGAAGTTCACGGGTAAGACGGACCCGGTGGAGGTGCTGAGGACGCTCCGTACCGAGAAGGATAACTTCAAGAAGCCCAAGGAGCTGCCCAATCCCCAGGCTGTGCTCGCGTTTGACTGGGGCCTTTTCAGCCCCTTCCTTGAGAAGAAGTGAGCGGCTGAAACGCAGCATCCCTGTCGTGGTGGCGGCTTTTCTGCCCCGCGGCCGGCTGGCTGCAACTTCCTCCCATAAGACTCGGCAGTTGGGAAGTGTTTTTTATCTTTTAACCTGCTCGTTTCAAGGCTGCTCTGCTGTGTCCCCTCCAGCGCCCATGTCTGGCTCCCTGAGGCCTGCGGGAGCTCTGCTGAGCTTCCTTGGGGAAGAGAGTGCAGGGGAAGGTGCTTCAGCCCCCCCCAGCCATGGGTCGGGGGGTGTTTTGGGGGGTAGAACACCCGTGTTCACAATGGTCAGGTTGGGGGGTGTGGTGTGGGAACCAGGACAGAGCATGGAAAAGCTTGGGACTCTTGAGGGGCTGCGGTGCTGGATCCCATGGCTCCTCCGGGGCTGTAAGGCACTCCTGCCTGCACTCCTGCCAGACCTGGGTGCTTCACTGCACCAGGCCCTCCCTTGACCCGTCTTAGGCCAAGCAAGGGGCAGCTGGTGAGTTTTTCACTGGCGCTCAGCAGCACCTGTGTGACTCCAGACCTAGGCTAACAGAAACCCTCTTTGCAGTGGGGGTTTGGGTATTTTTTCCCCCCTTTTGGTTTTTTTTTCCCCTTATTTTTATAGCAGGCTAACATAGAAACATCACGTAGGGATCTGTAATGTGATCACTGACTTACAGGAGCCGTCCAAACCCCTCAAGCCGTGCGGTGCGCGCTCTGGTGGAGGTCAGGCCTGGGGGAGAGCATGCTCTCACCCACTGGCCTTGTGAAATACTTCTCAAGGTATGACAGTTTTTAGGCAGCAAACAACGTGTGCTCCACCCCCCCGAAGATAAAAAATTGGAAAAGAAAAACATTTGGCTGCAACTCACATTTACATTGCCTTGTCTTTAGAAAAAGAGGTGGGGAACAGCTGAGTTTAAGCCTTTTCAGCCTTCAGTTTGTGCAAAATCAGTACTGTATTTTATTTTTTTTATGTCTGAGAAATGCATAAAGCTTTTATTTGCAGGTGGTGGGGAAGTGCATTACAAATCAGTAGGGTTTTTTTGGGAAAAAAGGTAGAGCTTGATGATAGCTCTGTAAATAGGTGTGAAAATTCCTCTGAAGGATCTGGGCAGGAGGTTCCATGTGGGAGAGTCTCTGGTTTCTCCTTTACCTCAGAGTGCAGACTGTGTGCAGCTGTCTTGGTGCTGCCGAATTTACACCCATTCTGGGTAGTTCAGGTGAAAACACGGAGCAGAGGAGCTGGTCCTGTAATCCTTTGCTGCGTGTTGTCATTTTAATCAGTGTTGATAATAGATTGCATAGCTCATAACACTGGAATTGAGTTTTCAGGATCTTTCATGCATGGACTGTGGGCTGCACCCATTACTGCTGAAGCCTGGTTTGTGGCAGTTTCTTCCCTTACTAGAAACTAGATTAAGGTTTTCTTTTTTCCTTTTATTAAGTTATAGTGTTAGAATTTACTCTCCCTGCCAGGAGAGGGAGAATTAGTCCTGCTGCACAAGTTGCCTTGGTACTGTTGCCCCAAGCTGCTCAGTTTAACTGTAACTGTGCAGTTTGTAGGTGTTACCTGGGGGCTCCTCTGGATGTTTATTTACACTGGGAGCAGAGGGGCACCCCTGCGTGTTTGGGGGGGGTCCCTGAGCCACCACCCACTCAGAAGCTGGAACAGACACCCAGGAGCACTGCGAGGGGTGAGTCCTGCAGTGGCTCAGGCCGTGTGCATGCTGGTAACGGGGGAAGAGACAAAAGGTGGAGCCCCCATTGTTTGATTTACAGCTCATTTAGCTTTATTTACTTGTGGACTTCTGGCTTGACGTGCATGTTCTCAACAGAAACAGAATGTGTTTCTTTCGCACTGATGTACGGTGTTCCTGCTCTTGGCCCTTCAGCGTACTGGGCTGAGTATCTCCGGCAGTAGATAACGATGTTATGGTCTGGCACAACACTCTGTTGTAGATCTGTGTCATAAATCTCTGTGGAAAAGGGCATTCACTGCCGCCTCACTTGGGGAAATGAACAGGGTGGAGAGGGGGAAGCACTAGGAGATTCTTGCCTTACAAACACTGTGAATTCACTAATTGAGCAGCAACACCTGAAAAATGTAAAGCTTTTAATTAAAAACATGAAAAAGAAAAAAGTCTTTTACAGTGTTGGCTTACTTTTAGTAAAGAGTGGAGGAGGCTCTGAGGAGGACGCAGGACAGCGCTGCTGGAGGAGCCGGTACAAGAGGCGGGTGAAGGGCTGAGCCTTGCGCTCGCCGGCGGCAGTAACACAGTCAGGGGTTTCCCAGGCTTTTCCCTGGTGGGAGTTTTCCCTGGTGAGGGTCTGGGCAAGGTCCTCTCAGGATTAGCTGCAGTAACCAGCTCCATGTTTATATTTACTCTGAAGCAACATAGCTTTGTTTTCAAGTTTTCATCCACTTAACTCTACTTTCTGCACAGTCCTTCTTCCTCACATAGCAGTAACTGGAAAAAGGAGAAATACTGAAGTGATTCAGTGATGATTCCAAGTTCATCTTCACTTGCAGCTGGAGCAGGCACAAGGAGATCCCACATCCACTGGCATCCCTTCCCCTCGAGTTCAGGTACAGCCACAGAGCCTCGCACTCCTGCCTGCCCCTCCCCAGCCACACTGCAACTCCACAAAAACTGATGTTCTCATTAAATAGACCAGACTTAGTAGCTGTTTTTCCCTGAACACATATTCTGAAAACACCCATCTGTAAAAACACTGACAGCACGACAGACACCCGTCATCTCCAGCAACAAAAGACCAAATCTGTTCCACAGCTACCTCTCTTGTGGCGAGGCATCAGAATATGCTGCATTAAACCAGGTGTGTTTTTACTAACCTCTTGGATTGTTCTGGTAACCTACTCATTGTAATGATTGCAGCTCACAGCAGCCTTCTATTAACTTTTGTAAAGGAACACCTTTCAGAGACACACAGGGCTTTGTCCTTCATGGGAAAGTTGTCAGTAAATTCTTACTTGAAACACTGTAAAAAGTTGCTTTCTCTGAATTTAAGGATATTATCCATCAGTAACTGGCTGCCGAGGATGGGGTAGATGTGACAATTCTGTGACTCTCTCTACTGTGTAATTTAGGGAGAGAAAGGGAGAGATGTAATTGCCCACAGTTAGAGACAATTGTTATAATTAAAAGGGGAAAAAAAAAAAAAAAAATCACTCTTGCTTCTTCTTCTGAAACATTCATTTAGGCCCCATTTCAGCCCTGCTTCTCGTGCTGCTGCTACCCACCCCCTCAAGCCAGGGACAGGATGCAGCAGGGGCTGGCAGGGGCAGGCAGCCCCTGAAGTGGAAAGCCAGACCCCAGGGTCTAATGAGAGCATTTCTAACTCAGTGAGGGTGTCCCGACAGAGCCAGCCCCAAAACCTAGTGCCACAGAAACACAGCCAGGCTGGGACGAGTAACACCATCACGTAGCAAAAAGCTCCTTGGGGCGAGGCTACAGCCTCCTGCAAGCCAACTCCTCCAGCACCTGAAATTCATCAGCTTTGGGAGGTTTAGGGGTGTAAGGGGAGCACAGATTTAGTCCATAAAGACCGCGCAGAGGCTGGGTTGCACCACTGCTCCTTTTGATGTGCGTTTTAAGTCAGTATTTGGTCTTTATTTACATTGTTTCAATAATTATAAGGCTCTAGGAATTAATACTGCCTGCCTATATGCACATTACCTTCTCATCCCTAATGAGTCAGAAACTGCCACGTCCCAGTGAGGGCTTTTAGCCATCTTTTGAGAATCCACCATACAATGGAGTTAAAAAGGCACCGAGTGTTGGGGCTTCACGGCGTCAAGCTTCACCATTTGATGTTAAATCCGGTGCTTGCTCTCTCCACGGCATGGTACTCCGTACGCAGAGCTCGGGCAGCTTTTTCCGACTCCGTGCCCCCCAGCCACCGCTCGTACAGCTCCTTTACAGTCCAGTTCTCCTCAGGAATTGTGGTCTTAAGAGACTCGTACAACCTCTCGACTTGCTGAAGCTGGTCCTTGCCAGATTCACCGTCTAGTTTGATCTGACCACCCCCATTTAAACAGCCTGTGTGCAACAAAGGGAGAAAATGTCACTGGCTTTCGAAAGCACTTCATCTTTAGCAGAAAAAAAACAACTACAGTTAATTTAATCTGCACCTGCCATTACAGAAATGAAAACGCTATAATTGGGGTTTACTCCCCATGTAAGAGGTCTAAGCAGCGGTGGGGAGCTCTGGCTCTGAGCCAAGGGCTGGGCATGAGCTGCCCACGCTCTGCTAGCCGGGTCAAAGAGGGTGAGAAGGGAGGGCTTGTGCAAAGGGGAAAAGGAATAAAATGGGTAGAAAGAGACTTTCTTCACCAGCCAGAGCAAGCGTTCTCTAAAAGCATAACAGTCAATTTTGTGCAATTTTAGAGGGAGAATCTCCCCACGTACCAAAGAGCTCAAAAAACTAGGAGGACCTCCTTAAAAGCACTAATTTTGCAAATTTTGTGCAATGGAATTTAACCATAATTACTTAAATCCTGAAGAATTACTAGCTTCTAGGTAGGAAAACATACACACAAACAATTCTGACATTCTGAAGCTGTGACTATCACATCTCAAGAATTTGACAGCTTTGTCACAATATTCAGGATGCGAGAAATTGCCTGTTATTCTTCTATTTTAGGTCCAGTTTCATACAGCTTAGGGTGTAACAGGGAAAGCCCCCAGCAGTCTTACCCGATGGGCAGGCCATGACTTCAACGTAGTGATAGGGTGATTTCCCACGTTTCAGCTTTTGCACCAAATTCTGGATGTTTCGAAACCCATACGCCAAAGCAAACTGGAGCAGGACAACCCCCTCCTTCTCCAGAGTCACCTCCTGGAAGTCCTTGTTTCTGAAGAACAAGAGTAGAGAAAAATGTCTTATCCAAATTAACTTCTATTTTAAACTTCAAAGAGCCCCATGCTAAAACAAAGCTCTCTGTGAAATCTTTTTCAAGGAATCTGTCCCAGTTCCCTGCCACCCGAGCAGAAGGGATGAAGGTAGGAGCTCACAGCTCCTTCTCCAGCCTTGTCTGAGGACCTGCCACCTAAACTGTGTTTGTGGAAGAACACCTGTGTTGAATAAACCCTTAAAAGCTAAGCAAATGGAGCCTGAACAAAAGTTTCATTGTGATGGGCCTTCTGAGTTGGCTTCAGCCAACTTATGCATTAGTGAGGCCTTGGAGGAAACTCTGAAATTGCAGTGGGTCATAAAACCAGGGAGCAAACCATTACTGAAGGCTTCCAGACTCCAGAGGTTAATGGAAATACCTGTTCCTGATAAAAGAGTAATTTGATTTTTATCAAGTATTTCATATTGAGACTCTGGGGTGTTGTTCCTTCTGCTTCCTAGGCCAGAGAATCCTAAACATAAATAATTGCTAATCAGGGCTATAATTCATTACAAATGGTATATTAATATCATAACGGGGAAGCTAGTGGAAATCTCAGCTGAACGAGCCTCCATGGCCAAGCTCCAGTGACTTGTTTTCTGTCTTACAACACAGTTAAAATAGAGCCCCAAAGCCCTGACAGATTTTTTTTTTTCTGTGATCACTACATTAGCATCAAATCTACTTTATGGCTCTGACTGCAGGTGAGCGAGCCCAGATCCAGGAGAACTCTGTCTTCTAAACTACTCTAAAAATTGTCTGCAACTTGATACTGGGAAAATCCGTCAGGCCAAAATAAAGTGCATGGGTGGTGAAGGGGCTACAAGTCTCCGAGGGAGCAGGGGCTGATTTACTGCTCAGCCACTGTGGGAGGGAGAAGCCCATTCCCATGCCTTGAAGTAAAATGTTTAACATTGCAAAGAGTTTCAGCCGACATCAGCAAGATAAGAGCATGAACAGAACTGCAACAAAAACAGGGCTTTCTGTAGGACTTTAACATTCTTACTTTAGTGGTTTGTACTGAATTGTATCCACTCGAATTCCAAAGAGCTCCTTGGCTGCATACTTGTACACGTGCTCCAAGTAGCCCCCTGAGCCACCACCGGAGTGGCTGGTGAGCTCCTCTTCGGCAGCACCACTGAGCCTGGGGGAGGGAGAGGGGGAAGAAAACAGCACTTTGAGGGGAACTTCGATCCAACAGAACAGCCAGCATAAAGGCAAAGGTCCAGGGGACTCAAAAGCAACAGAACAAGCCCCAGAGCAGCTCCCTTTGAGCTCCCAGCTTTTCCCTTTCTCCTAGGAACCCCCTATTTATAGCTCCAGAGCCCGGGGATTTAACCCTGTGCTGCCCAGCCGCCTTTGGGTCAAGCTCAGTGGAAACAGTCACGTGCCACAGCAAGGCCTGACCCACGCGCTGCCAACTTAAATCTTCACGTTATCAGAAACACGTTTGGGAATGTTTGAGTTAAAAGGGCATTTACCTGACATGTATTTTGTTTGCTTCCTGTTTAAAAACCTCTACAAACATCCTGGGTTACACTCAGAAATGGAAGGGAAATACTGAAGAAACGGTGGTATGCTGGAGAACAGAACCCAGCACAAGTCCTGGCTCAGATGAGTCATCTCACCAGCCCTAAAGCTTTTTCTGCAGCATCAACAAAAGCATGGAAAGCTCTGGTTCTGTGTTACGTCTTTTTTGAAACCAGCTCCTTGAGATGTGGTTGGTGGGATGCACAAGAGCACTGCTGTGGGGTCTCTGTGCAGAGAGGTGAAAACCCTGCGGCCGTGATTTCCTCTGCATGCAGTCACGCAGCAAAGGTGACCAAACCCAGCCATGCCAGGGCACTTCCTCCATCCACCGCTGTCCTCAGCAGGGTCCTGCTTCGAGTTCAACACGTTTTTTGGTGTTGAACAACTACATTAACAGAAGTTCTGTAATTCTAGTTCTGCACAAGTAATTCCGTCTCAGTGCCATGCCAGAACACAACCGACTATTCAGAGGTCAAGAGAATGTTTCTTGAGAACAGCTCACCAGATGGAAGCCACAACAATAGCTTTTGTTACAAGAGAATAACAAGATGAGGGATCTGCTCCGAAGCACTCATCAGGCAGCAACACTTGCATTCTGCTCCCAACAGCTGCAGAAGGGAAAACACTTGAACCCAGGCCAAAGAGTTTCAAGTCCAAGCGAAGACGTTGCCTCTTGCAGATAAAATCTCAGCTTTGGAAGAACTGCAGAAGGCAACACTTGGGCCTGCAATCACCCTCAGAAACTATTTTTAATTTGATCTTGTTTACAGGAACTGAGCTTCATTAACAAAATGCTTCAGTGTGTCTGGCCTCACGTACTGCTACTCTCTTAAACTGAGGCTGCCAGTAAGCTTCAGTGCTGGCCTGCAGCACACAGTTACACCAGCAAAAGTCCCGGGATTTCTGGCACTTCACCTCCTTTTTGCTGCCAAATGTAATAACCCCTTAATGGGCTTTTCCACGTGCTGGAGGACAAAGCAGAACAACAGCCATTGGCCTGCTGATGCGAACGCTCCAAGTTCTGAGGAATACGTGCTGTTTGTAACCAGTCAATTTACTGAGTATGTTAAAGCTTGCAAAAGGTTATAGAGGCACTTTATCACCCCAAGCATGAGGCCCAGCACTCAGAATGCACTCCTAAGAACTAGGCCAGAGATTTTTATCAAGTTATTAGACATTCAGTTCTCTGTTATAACTGACACTTCCATAATGTCATTTCCTAAGCAATCCCAAACACTTCAGAACCTTTTTTTCTCCTCAATTTGCTGCCAGTGGTATAACAATAAAGCAGGTAGAACAGAAGTACTAGTTTAAGGGAGCAACTTTTGAAGTTGTACTTTTGGGACTCAACCATGCAGATATTTATTACAGCTGAGGATACTTTTCTTTTTTGATGTGAAAACAATCTGTGCATATGCTTTGTCAGAAAAAGATACTTAATCCTGGAAAAAGTGTGTAAGAACAGATCTGTGCTAGTAAATGTGTTCTGTGAAACCTGCACCTACTGATCCACTGAAATGCAGCAGAAGGAAACTGAGGCTCTTGGCATGCACATTATTTTAAATCTATTTTAAAAATTAATAATCCCTTACATGAAAGGGATTGGACAGCAACAGACCATCCCTGGCTCACATTCTCCTTTTCAGAAGCACAGGAGTGACCAATGTTCATAACTATTAAAACTAATCTAGGAAATAGGCTGCGCATAAGGCCACGTCCCTTCACAGCTGCCACCATACAGGTGCTGATCAGACAATTCCTGTGCAAGGGCCCTTGGCTGTACTGCAGACTTAAAGCCTATTTAGAAATAAACCCAATTTCAAACCCAGTGTCACATCCACAAGGGGTACAGCTGAAAACAGGCTAGTGTCACAGACTAACCTTGGGGTATCAAAATCTCTCCTAAAAACTTAAGGAGCTTGAGCAGTAAATTTTTGAATCATATAATCATCTTTTATAATTCTTAATGGGTGCTGCACATGTAGCCTTTCTGTTTACAACATGCAAAGTGATACAAAGACATTTCTTTTAAACTGAAAAGGAGAATGCTTTGGTTTAGCATTCAGCATGGAACCGTCCTTGCATGTTAATTTAGATGAGTAAAATGTGATTTTAATGTTTCCGTAGTCACTTAGATCCCTGTGCAGTTGTCACTAAAGCAGCTGAAGTTGCTACTTTTCAGCTGAACCAACTAAAGTCTCATCTGGTTTGCACATGTTTTAGATCTCCTCTTTTTACAAATAAAGACTCCAAGAGATTAGCTGAGTGACCTAAATATTTCCTATTTAGGCTTTAATTCTGGAATCCCTATAGTAGCTCCGATACCTAGGAATGAGCAGAGTGCAGTAACAGGCTTTGTTTTAGCAAACTCTTTTATCACTGATCTGGATTCTTTCACTTTTCAAAGTTTGCAGGTAGCTTTCCGCAGGATTCCACCAGCTCTAGTCTAACAGCATTTGAAGTAAATGACCGTCACACAATTTGTGCTTCTCTGCACAATTATTTTGCCATTATACTCTTACTGAGCTAATTCTAGCAATCCTGCAGATTTACAGTGAGAGCTTCTAATCCTTGGGCTACTAAAAATCTAGAATCTAGTTGCAGATTCTCCAAAAGTGGAAATCCATCATTTTCTATATATGTAAGTATTTTAATGCACAATTGTGCTGATTCAAGCAGCCCAAGAAAGCAAATCAAATGCAAACATGTGCAGCCTTGTGTAGAACAGTAGCGGAAAGGCAAATTCTGTTGAAGAACTCTAACTACTGGATGAAAAAGAACATGACTGAAGATACAAATGAGGTTTTGTTCTTACGTGGTATCCAACGGAGCAGGATCTACATCTGACAGAGACACTCCTTCTTGTTCCAACAACTTTAGCACTTCTCCTAAAACAGAACCACAGACATAAAAAAGTTCTTATTTGGGGGATAAAGGAAAGCAAAATCCACAGACCAGTACAAAAGACTGCATCTGCAATTTTTACCAGGATATGATTTGCACGATTCAAGTGTAATTATACAGTAATATCCATAAATTACATCTTCCACCAGAGACAAAGAGTTATTCAAACTAGCAAATGCCTTGCTCTGAAGCTCCAGAAATCAGCTGGACTACCTCTGGCTCTGCTTACCTGTGGTGATTACACAGTCCACGTCACGAGTTTGGTACTCCTGGTTGAAAAAGTCTGGCCTTGAGGCCTCCAGCTTTTTGTCATAACAGGGCATCACTGTTACGTGGTAGATCTGGTTGGGTGTCAGGTGCTGGAAGAAAGACAAAGCTGTGGGGTTGGACTGATCAACTGGACAGCCAAGGGAGGTGTTTTCCAGGTACAAATGAGAATGATGAAACTAATGCCACCATGCCTCTGGGAATACTCCCCACTCCTACTGAACATTTATTTTTTTATATACATACATACACACATTATATATACACATTAAATTACTTCTCTCCTAGAGCACCATTTTAGTTCATAGCAAGTGTCAGCAGTGTGGCCTTTTATGGGTTTCCCCCCACCTCCTTTTGCTAGAGCAGATGGTTCAGACAGTGAGTGAAGTGAATTCCTAATTATGCAGTTAGAGAACGTGCTTCCTCTATGCTACCAAAACCCAGCCCCTGCATCAGCAACTAAGAAACTATCTAGAGTCAGACAAAAACCTCATGACCATCCAAGAAATAAGCACAGGCCGAGGAAGCAAATCATTGACTCAAGGCCACCGTTACAGTATCTTGTGCCAAATATTCTAAGTAGCTGCCAATTTTTGTAAGGAGTATGCAGATGTCAGCATTTACTTAATGCAAGTGTTAAACCACTGCTCATTAATGGACAATAAATCATACAATCAGAAGTGCCGCTTAAGTTTCTTACTGGACAAATCTAGGCTATTAGTACAACTAGTCTTTAAGTATCAAATTTATATTTGGAAGGATTCCAAAGGTTAAAGACTGAGAACAGAACTAAGTCAAACTGAGACAGAACATTAAGTTGGGAACGAGCAAGTAATTTTTAGACCAGACATGATCTGCACGTATGCACTGACAGAAGTTCTGTCTTAAGATAATTTATTTTAAGTTATTCACCAACTTTAAACAACATAAAAATACCACACACAGACAAGACGGGAGCACAGACACTGAAAAATAAGTTTCTCCAGCCTTCCCAAATAACATGCAGAGGTTTGAAATAGCCCGTGCAGCATGCACTTAGTGTTACTGCTCTGGGTTGCTAACTTCTCATTAGATGAAATAGAAGTGAGAAAGATGCTGCCTTCGCTGGTTTCTGCAAGATAATTTTTGCCTTTAAACTCCGATTTAAACACTAATCTAATCTAACATGTAGCAAAATAAAAAAATATCAGCTTGAAGTATTAAATTGTAGCAGTTTGCCATTAAGCACAGTACAGGTCAGCCCCTCACCTGCTGTTCTGCAAAATGACCCTTGATCAAGGAGCCCATGACCTGCTGTGGAGACTTGGTGGTACTGATGTACGGAATGATGAAACTGCCGTGGGTTTTCTCTGCATAGCAGATCCAACCTGGCAAGAGTGTTATTCACAAATTACATTAAAAAATAACAAGCAGCCCTTCATTCTGTCCACCTTCCCCCCAGCCCCAGGCTTAGCACCCTTTAATAACGACTTTCAGCCTCACTTCCGCATAAAAAGCAAAGGAAGCGTAACAGGAGATTAATTTGAGAGATCATCAAGTAACTGTATAGATCACTACTGCTATTAACACCGAGGTGTCTATGTACCGTGAAGAGAGTAATCCTCTAAGTAAATTTATCCATTTAAACTTTTCTGACTAGCTTTTTGATTTTTTGTTCCAGTGTACTATTCACATGCCATTTTATTATTTCCATAACTAAATTTCATACCACACCTGGACAGGCAGAAGCGAGCATCGGCAAAGCCTTTTTGTCTTCAGATTGCTTTCGAAAGCGTTTTACAAACTCTCGTTGGCTCTCCAGCAGGCTGAAGTTTCTTGAGAAGGTTGTATCAAAAACGTAGTGCACACCTAGGCAGTACAGCATCTGTGTTAAAATTCACAAGAAAGATACGGCAAACTACCACAGAAAGCCTTCAGTCAAAGCAGATTCAAACTGCACATCTTATTTACAGGTAGCAAGCTCCTTTTGAGAGTGAAGCTTTTTCCTTAGCCTGCACAGCGAGGCGAGCAGAAGTGACAGGAGGACCGGAAATGTAAAATTTAAAGTCCCTTCCTTCCATCACTCCAAGTTTATGATGTGACTGAAGTTGCAGACAGTTCGCATTTTAGTTAATGCCAATTACTACAAGATGAGTCCCCGGGGAGATTAAATCACATCAACCTCCACGTACGCCACAGCAGCACCCTCTGTGACTCACGGAACACAGTGCCATACTTGCCTAAACTCTTGAAGAATGCAGTTAACTTCTTTGCTGTTTCCAGAACACCCATTTTACATCTTGCAGCTAGTGAAGCTCTGGACTGTGGTGAAACAGAAACCACCACCAATTTCTGTTCACTGGGAGAGGCGGTCTTTGAGAAAAAAACACAAAACAACCACAAACAAAACCCAGCATTATTTAGACAATATTAATACAGCAGATGCAAAGCTTTCATCACACTATAACATCAGAAAGCATCTCCTGGCTTAACTCTGATGTCAGTAACTTACTACACTAAAGACCCTTTCCAAACCCAGGATTACTTTGTAAAAATCGGAAAAACCACAACAGTGCACTGAGAACATCCTCAGATCCTTCAGCTCTCTGAAACCAATTTTTATGTGTGCTGTTTCCACGTGTGCTTCTGCAGATACACCATACCATTCTTTAAAGACTTTCAAACTCTGCAGACTACCTAGCCATGACTTGTGACCTACCTTGTTAAAAGTCAGCATTTTGCAGAGCTCTTCGTGGCTTTGTTGAGTGATTAAAACACTCTCTGCTGATGTAATGCAGCCACTACAAGCTAAACAGTCATTCAGAGTAATTTTAGCCTTTTCCAATTTTTGTGCTCCTCCATCCTATAAAGAAACAGATTAGACTCAGTTCTGATCACAGTGTAGATTTACATAGCACTTTTTCCACCTTTTACTATATTTAGTAACAAAGACGTTGTCCTTTTCATACTCTCGGTTTATCATTTTTAAAAAAGTATCTTTTATTTTTAGTAAGATGAGAAAGAAGACAAGTATCTTTGAAGTTTGCTGCTTTTAACAGAATTATTTGGCACATCGATGCAAATATGCTGAGGACCTTCAGGGAAATTTTAGCAAGACCAAGAACATAATTTTCACTAAATAAAGAACAGTTGCTTAGGCTGTAATTATTTGTGCTCTCTGGTGGGCTAACATTGCTCCAACACACTGAAATTATACTATCCCAGAAGCAAATAGGGTCTATCTTGCTCGATTTTTCAACTTGTGGGTGGCTGAAGACTGCTATTTTAACCACAAAACTGTCGATCAAAGGGATCCTAAGCCCTTCAGCACCCACCTGCAGTGTGCATTGAATATCACCCTGGAGAAAGCACCTCTATCAGATGCTGCTCACGTTACTAAACACCACTGGAGCTGTTTCTTCACAGGAACTTGAATTTTACTCGTTCTAAATAGATTGTGTGACCAGACTATAAGCTCACTAACATTTTTAATTGATACTGTGAGTTCTGAAATCTTCCGTGCAAAACTTGCACGGACACTGATGGGAAAACTGCATGGCAGTGTATCAAAAAAACAGCATGTGGCTTGCCACTGGAAATATTTTTCATAATATCTGACCTGAAAAAGTCAGTTCTCCCGTGAGACTCTCCTCTTAAATGTCACTTCTCAAAAAAGTCAGAAACAGACCAAGCAATTAGGTACTATTAAATTAAAATTTTAAAATAAGAAACCAGACTCCTTTGGAAGCGCTGTATCCCCCTTTTTTAAGCCAAAAGGTCATCATATGCCTAAAGTTAAAAGTTCTAGATGAATTCCCACCTTGGCTAACTAAGAAATGCTAACCTTTCCTTTGCAAACAGGAAAATTGTTCTGCAAAACTCAGGATTAATTTGGAAGAAGAAGGTTTATGAATTCTGCAGGCTATTTAAACAAATAATTTGAAATATTATTTTAAAAAATCAGAGCAAAATTTTAAGAGTGTGTAATTGAATCTTTGTGAGCAAGTGCTCTGCTGTATGACATAATGCAATAAGAAAAGACACTGTTGTAAATAATCTAGGAATTGCTCAAACTTAAGTACTGATGGCAAAATAGACCTCAGCTTATCTGCTCTTATACTGAAAATCCTTACTAATTGTCAGTGTTTCAGAACATATAAGACAGACATAAAATCAGAATTACTGCTTATAAAACTGGGTAATAAGGAAGTTGGACTTTGGAAAAAAGATGTGAGAATGCTGACAGCAATATATCACTTTTTTAACATCTTAGTCCTCTTTGAGGCATTAATCAGCTGTAGGCTATTCAAATACTTAATAATACATTTTCTGGATATTTTACACAATAATGACGAAAAATCACACATACCTGATTGATCTGAAAATAGCTTCCATCAGCTTCAATTCTGATCTTAGCTGCTGCTTTTCCAGGCTTTTTTTCCACTTTCACAGGCTTGATACATTCCTGAAAATGAAATAAAGCCCGAAAAGGAGGAGATGAGCAATGAAGAGGTAGATTTAATGCAAACTAGAATTATTAAACCCAAACACTAGCTCTAGAGCGAATGCTGCTTACTCTCCCTTAAGCTATGATGGATTTACTTAAAGCATTTATAACCCCCAAGGGAAAGCGTAAAAGCAAAAACTTCTTACCCCTTTTTTACAGAAGGAACATTTTTCCGGCATCATACCAAAAACAGAGGACCTTTCTGAAGAACACAGCTGTGTTTTACTGAGCCTTGAAAGGAACAGAGGCTTGCCTGCACAGTCCTCCTCTCTAAAATCTTACAGATGATCGTGCATTCTTCACTGCAAATTTTAACCAACAGAGGCGTGGTCACTACAGTCAACATGTGGCTAGTGCCAATGAAGTTTCACTTCATGTCGAAAGGACTCTGACGACCTCAGATGGCCTGCTTCCAGTTTTCTGTATTGTTCTGTGATGAAGTCTCAAGGGTGTTTTTACATTTTGTGCAATTTTTATTCTTTAGGCACCTTATGACTCCTTGTCCTATTTCCACAGCTAGGATTCTCTTTGCCTTTTACCATCCTGGCTCTGCCAACATCTTCAGGTTTCCCCCCCTAAATTAATCAAGCTGTACTATATTTTGCAAAATGCAGAGACTAACAGGAATATATTATGATTCTTCAGTTATGCTCACTGAATAAAACAAACGATCTCGAAACAAAAAAGCAAGTTGCATTATTTACATGAAAGCCTTCTCTAGGAAACCTAAGTACTGCAAGGAGTTATGTGGTTTGCTACGCTCTGTTCCGCTGATCCCATTTCAGGATAGTTTTTCCACTGTACTTGCCAGCAAATACATCCAGGATTAGTATTTTGTACTTTTGCTAGTGCTTGAAGACTATAAAAGGAATAGTCTTAACCTGTCCTTGCTGGTCATCCCCACTTCTCTGCCACCTGCTCCTGTATGCTGGCACCAAAATCTGTGTGGATGAGTGGTGCACAAGGAAACCTGGGTCAGGCTTAAGCTTTTTTTCCGGAGGGTCCAGATGAACATTTAATAGGGCAGTTTCCAGATCGGAGTGGGAATGATTTGGCTGCTGGGCCAAAATTTCTCTCTTTAGCTGCTTACAGAGGTTTGCACTGAACAGGGTTGCTGCCCTCTCTGTTCCCTGCGTGATGGCTGGAAGAGACAGTGAGGTATCTCCATGCTTTTCTCCTTTTACCATTTATTTCCCAGCACCCGAAAGCCGTCTGAAAGGGCCGACCTCGGCCCATTTGCCCGCGTGCCCGCTGTGCCGCCTTCCTCACGCTGTCAAGCCGATGGGCACGGCCAGGGCTGTCACCCACCTCCCCTCAGCGACATCTTCTCACCCCCCACCCCTCGGCGGCGCTCATAG